CCTTACTCCGAGTGCCAGAATGCCGCTCAAATCTACCGAAAAGTAACCAGTGTAGGTATACGTTTTTTCCCCCAGGGCAAACTTGTACATTGGCCGCTTGAAATGGCAAAGCCTCATGAGTTAGAATGTGTGCTTGGTCTTGTCGCAGGCGAGTGGTGGCCGCACTTCGTCTGAGCACGTCTTTTCAAACGTTGCTGAGTTATTCCAGAATAGCTCATCTTTTGAGATGTCACCTGAGCAGGAGAAGGTTATAGGGCTTTTTGGTGTACAACGGTTTACGATCTACATTCCTTTCCCCTCCCCACAACTGATGCCCTGTGAGGTAGGCAGGGCTGAGAGAGTTCTGAGAGAAACTGTTCTTTCAAGAACAGCTCTGACAGAACGATGGCGTGCCCAAGGTCATCCAGCAGCTGCAAGTGGAGGAGTGGGGGAATCAAACCCCGTTCTCCCAGATTAGAGTCCACGCTCCTAACCACTACACCAAACTGGCTTTATTAGATTAATTTTCATGCACAGTCACGAAATGGTCTTACGCCTGGGTGTGAATGGCCTGATGAAGCTAAAGGAAAAGATTAATCAAATGGATTAGAATGGATTTTGTCCCCTTTTCACAATATTATATAAAGCCTAGACATCCAGCATTGATCTCATTTAGAGAATAGCTGGGATTAAAAAAACCCACAACAGCTACAGTTGGCACATCAGTTGCGTTATGATCAATTAGAGTTGCTTCCAAGTAAATGTGTGCAGGGTCAGGTTTTATGTGGCCGAGCTAATTCCACTAACTTAGTCTGCTTGGAAGGGCCTTGTAAATTGGGGATTTTCCATTCGTTCCGTCCAGCCGCCACAGAGAAAACTCCTGCTGCGTATTATCTATTAACAGCCACATCCCTTTTCTCCTAGGGCATTAAGCCTGCCAGTTTTAACAAGGTAACTGACCCGGAGGTGAAAGAGATCATTGAAGGATGCATTCGGCAAAACAAGTCCGCGAGGTGGGTAAGCCCGTTCCGTGCTTCCTGTTGCTTTGGGCACCGAAAATTAAGAGGGAGCCTTTGTGGGTTTTAATGGGGCCTTGTCTGTAACTGGCAACAAACGACCTGATTAAGCACAGCGTTCCTGCTTGGTGCAGCAGTTCTAAGCACCTGCATAAATCCTTTTGAAGTCGAAGGAAATTAAAAACCCGTACAATGTAAATCACATGGCTAAATTGGGATTTTTGTCTGGCTCGTTTCCAGAATGTTGTGGAGTCGGAAGAGATGTATGTGGAGGAAGAAAGAAGGCCCAGTGGTTTCAGGGTCAGGGGGCGTAGACCAGCGCAGAGAATTTAAGCTTCTGGTCAGGGGGCGTACACCAGCGCAGAGAATTTAAGCTTCTGGTTAGGGGTGCCAGCCACCAGGTGGGATCTCGGGATCCTCCCAAAAGGCAAATTCAGTCTTGGGTTGTATTAAAAGGGCCATAGCATCAAAATCGCAGGAGGTCATATCCCCTCTGTATACTGCCTTGGTCAGGCCACACCTGGAGTACTGTGTGCAGTTCTGGAGGCCTCACTTCAAAAAGGACGTGGGCAAAATCGAGAGGGTGCAGAAGAGAGCGACAAGGATGATCAGGGGTCTGGAGACTGAGCTCTACGAGGAAAGGCTAAAGGCCTTGGGAATGTTTAGTTTGGAGAAGAGGAGATTGAAGGGGGACATGATTGCTCTCTTTAAATACTTGAATGGCTGTCATTTGGAGGAGGGCAAGGAGCTGTTCCAGTTAGCAGCAGAGGACAGGAACTGAAGCAATGGGTGTAAATCACATGCAGATGTTTTTAATCTGTTTTAATGTTGTAAATTGTATTATATATTTTTGTTTGTTGATTGCACTCAGTGCCTTATGTGAGCCGCCCTGAGCCCGTTCGCGGGGAGGGCGGGGTATAAATACAATAAAATAAATAAATAAATAAAGGTATCGGCTGGATATGAGGAAAAACTTTTTCACAGTCAGAGTGGTTCAAAGGTGGGATCGGATGCCTGGGGAGGTGGTGGGCTCCCCTTCACTGGCAGCTTTCGAGAAGAGGAGGCTGGGCGAATATTTGTCAGAGATGCTTTAGGCTGGTCCTGCATTGGACAGGGGGTTGGACTGGATGGCCTGTGTGGCCCCTTCCAACTCTGGGATTCTATGAATTACAGCTCCAGTCTACAGAGACCAGTTCCCCTGGAGAAAATGGCTACTCTGGAGGGTGGACTCTATGGCCCTGCACCCCACTGAGGTCCCTCCATCTGCAAATCTCTAGGAGTTTCCCAGCTTGGGTCTGGCAACCCTACATCCCCCTCCAGTGGCCAGGGGGGACCTGGGCAACTCTTACTTCTGGTGTGCCTTTGAATACGGAATGAGTTTCGATCCCAAAAGTCCTATCCTTGTCTCATCAAGTGGTTTAGAGCAGAGATGAAGGATTTCATGGTTCTCTCTGTCGCTTTTCTAGAGCGACAGAAGGTGGGATTCTGCATTTCTTACTTTGTACTGGTAGTCTGCGCAAAGAGAGGGAGTGATTGAAACTGGAATTTTTGATTCTCTTCTCCGTTTTAGCCAGTAAGCAAGGTCTAAGGTAGGGGTCCCCAACCTCTTTGAGCCCGTAGGCACTTTTGAAATTCTAAGATAGGGTAGTAGGCAACGTTCCCTCTGAGCTGAGTTAGCGTGAGCCAGCTCACAGTTCTTTAGCCTCCGGCTCACACATTTTTGTCTTCGCTCAGGAAGGATGGCTCCGGAGCAAACTAATTTATGCAGTAGCCACATTGCTTGCTCACATCTTTAATGCCAGGAGCTCACGAAGTAGAATTTTTGCTCACAAGACTCCACAGCTTACAGGGAGCACTGTAGGCCAGCCACAAAATGGCGGCCCATGGGGGGGGTGGAGCCACAGACCCATAAATGCACGCAGAGGATGCCCAATTGCAGGGGAGAAGAGAGAGTAATTTAAACAAGTACACTGGGAAAGAGCAGTGAGTTGGAGAATAAAACCAACACTGTGGTGGCCAGTCAGAAGCCCTGCTGGGCATGAGCCCTACCTGGCCCCACCTACTTTCTAAAAGCACTTGGCATGCGCCAGGGAAGGTGTTGACACTGGCCATGGTGCCCGTGGACACTGTGTTGAGGGCCCCTGATCTAAGGGTAATTGATTTTTTTTGCTTCATTTTTAAAAATGCAAGTGTTTGCTTTATTTGTCCCGAAGGACTGCTGGATAGCAATGCTCCCTCTAATCTGTGGAGTCTTGTGAGCAAAAATTCTACTCTGTGAGCCGCCGGCATTAAAGCTGTGAGCGAGCGATTGGGCTACGGGATAAATTGGTTGGCTCTGGAGCCATCCTTCCCTGAGCTGAGACAAAAATGTGTGAGCTGCTGGAGGCTAAAAAAACTGTGAGCTAGCTCACACTAAGTCAGCTTAGAGGGAACACCGCTGGATAGAGACCATGCTATCTAAACCAGGGGTGGCCAAACTGCAGCTCGGGGGCCACATGTGGCTCTTTCACATCGTCTAGTTTAATGTTAATAAAAAGCAAATTTGCATATTTTCCAATAAAAAAAAACCATGTGTGTAATATTTGTTCGTGTCTCGCGGCTCTCAAACATCTGACGTTTATTCTGCGTGGCTCTTACGTTAAGCGAGTTTGGCCGCCCCTGACCTAAACAGATAACATCCAAGTGCTGCCATGTATAGTTAGATGTGAAATGCCTGGTCGTGGAGAGCCACTAGTGAAGCCTAGTATTTGCGGAAAGAGGAGTCCACCAGTTGTCAGCTGACCTTTGCTGCGGAGTTCCGAAGACTGTCTGTTAACGTCCCCTATTTTACTGTCAGGTTGTCCATCAAAGACCTCTTGAACCACGCCTTCTTTGCCGAGGACACCGGTCTCAGGGTGGAGCTGGCAGAAGAGGACGACGGGCTGGATGCCTCCTTGGCTTTGAGGCTGTGGGTAGAAGATCCCAAGAAGCTGAAAGGAAAGCACAAGGACAACGAAGCGATCGAGTTCAGTTTCAACCTGGAAACGGACGTCCCGGAGGAAGTAGCTTGCGAGATGGTGGGTATCGCCGTTATTTCCCTTGCTTCTTTCATTTTTTCCCCTTCATTCTTTTCCTTCATTGAGCCAGTTTGGTGTAGTGGTTAAGTGCGCGGACTCTAATCTGGGAGAACCGGGTTTGATTCCCCACTCCTCCACTTGCACCTGCTGGATGACCTTGGGCAGGCCATAGTTCTGTCAGAGCTGTCCTTGAAAAAGAGCATTTTCTGTCAGAGCTCTCTCAGCCCCGCCTACCTCACGGGGTGCCTGTTGTGGGGAGGGGAAGGGAAAGGAGTTTGTAAGCCGCCCTGAGACACCTTTGGGGAGTGAAGGGCAGGGTATAAATCCAATCTCCTCTTCTTCTTCTTTTACCTCACAGGGTGTCTGTTGCGGGGAGGGGAAGGGAAAGGAGTTTGTAAACCGTTCTAAGACACCTTCAGGTAGTGAAGGGCGGGGTATAAATCCAATCTCCTCTTCTTCTTCTTTTACCTCGCAGGGTGTCTGTTGTGGGGAGGGGAAGGGAAAGGAGTTTGTGAGCCGCTCTGAGACTCCCTTGGGTAGTGAAGGGCGGGGTATAAATCCAATCTCCTCCTCCTCCTCCTCCTGTTCTTCTTCTTCTTCCTCATTTCTAGCATGGGACTTCATCCTATATCGTTTTATATTTTCTCTCCTTTTTTGTCTGTGGAATAGTCATCCTCTTCCATTCTGGTCAACGTCAGATCTCAATATCTTCCCTTGTGTGAAACTTGGTCTCCTCTGCCTTGTGCTTGGTTTGCAACTAAAAATATTTTTGAAGGCCAATCCTGAAAAGAAATTAACTCAGATGAATTCACTCAGACTTTTGTCCCGAGGAAGCTAGAACGTTTGTTTTGACATACCTGTCTTCTCTGCACAAGGAGACTTGTGCGTGTGGAAGCATCCCGCGTGTCACCTAGTGTTAGCAGCTCTGGTCTGGGAAATTCCTGGTGATTTTGGGTAGTGGATCCTGGGGAGGGCGGGGCTTGGGGAGGGGAGGGACCTCAGCGGGGTCTAATGCCATAGAGTCCACCTTCCAAAGCAGCCATTTTCTGTAACCTGGAGATCAATTGTAATTCCGGGAGATCTCCGGTCACCAGCTAGAAGTTATACAAACCAATAAACAGAATAATCTGTCGCGCTGTACAAATCACACGAGAGACGACTGCCTTTCTTATACAGTTCTACTTACAACCAAAAGGAATACACATAACAAATAGTTTTGCCGCCGTGCATAAATGACAACTGCACCAGTTGAACGGTGACCCAATAGTCCTTGAAAGTACAAGTCTCTCTTCAGATTGAGGGGGTCACCGGCTCATGGTGCAAAGAAGAGTTTCCAGAAGAAAGCACGCAGTAGACGGCATGAGCTCAGGACTAGCTGCTGTGTGAACTAAAGGAGTGGTGACGGCACACCTAGGTTGCTTTGCCATTTCTTAGGTCTTCGTCAGGCCGTTTTTCTTTAGTGATAGAGCTCAACCTAGCTCTGGCAAGCTACTTGGAACATCCTTGTAGACTCTGTGTCATTTTGAATCTTGCCAGAGCTGGGTTGAGCTCCATCACTAAAGAAAAGCGGCCTGATGAAGCCCTAAGAAACGGCAAAGCAACCTAGGCGTGCCGTCGCCGCTCCTTTGGTTCGGACGACAGCTAGTCCTGAGCTCATGCCGTCTACTGCGTGCTTTCTTCTGGAAACTCTTCTTTGCACCATGAGCCGGTGACCACCTCAATCTGAAGAGAGACTTGTACTTTCAAGGACTATTGGGTCACCGTTCAGCTGGTGCAATTGTCATTTACGCTTGGTGGAAAAACTATTTGTCATGTCTATTAATTTTGGTTGCAAGTAGAACTGTAGAAGAAGACATTCGTGTCTCATGTGATTTGTACAGCATGACAGATTATTCTGTTTATTTGTATAACTGCATTAGCTGTATTTCCATTTTTGTGTGTTTGTTAACCAACTGGAAGTTGGCAACCCTAGTGGCACCATGTCCATGTAGTCTGAAGAAGTGAATTTGGTTCTACACGGGAACTCAGCATAGGAGGCTGCTGGCTGTGTTTCATCTTTTAATCGCAGTAGATTTGTTTTATTTAGCAAGGTCATGATTTTGAACTATGAGACGTGACGCTTAAAAGGTATCATACCGACTGAGAAGGGCCACAGGGTCTGATACAGACTAGTCCAGTTCTTATCCCTGATCTGGTGTCCTCCCAGAGGGAAAAGACAAGAATGTTTGGAAAAGCCGAAGGCAGCAGAAAAAAGAGGAAGACCCAACACGAGATGGGTTGACTCAATGAAGGAAGCCACAAAGGCCCTCAGTTTGCAAGACCTGAGCAAGGCCGTTAAGGAGAGGACATTTTGGAGGTCATTCATTCATAGGGTCGCCATAAGTCGGAAGCGACTTGACGGCACTTAATGCACATGCAGGTGTTTTCCCTGTGTGGCCTTGCATGAAGCTAGGAATCAGAGCCGACTGTTTTATGACTCGTTACAAGACATGGTTGGTAACCCAGGCCAAAACTGAAGGAGGTATTGGACGGTGGTGGAAAGTGCCGTCAAGTTACAACTGTCGTCAAGTCACAGCTGACTTATAGTGACCTGCTATAAGGCAAGAGACATTCAGGGGTGGCTTTCCTGTTGCCTGCCTCCGCATTATGACCCTGGTGTTTCTTGGTGGTCTCCCCATCCAAATACTACCCAGGGCCAACCCGGCTTAGCTTCTGAGATCTGACGAGATCGGGCTGGCCTTGGCTATTCGGGGTAGGGGGATGTTGTATAACTTTAGACAAATGGCTGTTAGGTGGAGCTGTAACTGGTTGACAAATCGCACCCAAGGAGTGCTTGTGAATGGTTCCTCATCTTCTTGGGGAGGAGTGACAAGTGGAATGCCTCAAGGATCTGACCTGGGACCTCAGGATAGGGATAGAGGGAATGCTTATTAAATTTGCATATGATATTAATTTGAGAGGGGTAGCAAATATGGTAGAAGACAGAGTTAGGATAGAGGATGATCTTGACAGGCTGCAAAACTGGGCTAAACAAATAAAGTGAATTTCAGTGGGGATAAATGTAAAGTTCTGCATTTAGGTAGGAAAAATCTAATGCATCATTACCAGTTGGGGGAGACTTGCCTTGGCAGTAGTATGTGCGAAAAGGATCTAGGGGTCTTAGTCGACCGTACACTGAACATGAGTCAGCAGTGTGATGTGGTTGCTAAAAAGGCAAATGCAATTTTGGCCTGTATCAACGGACGTATAGTGTCCAGATCACATGATGTGATCGTACCACTTTACTCTGCTCTGATTAGACGTCACCTAGAGTACTGTGTTCAGTTTTGGGCACCACAATTTATGAAGGATATAGATAAGCTGGGAACGTGTCCAGAGGAGGGCAACGAAGATGGTGAGGGGTCTGGAGACCAAGTCCTGTGAGGAAAGGTTGAAGGAGCTGGGTCTGTTTAGCCTGGAGAGGAGACAACTGAGAGGTGATATGATAACCATCTTCAAGTACTTGAAGGGCTGTCATCGAGAGGATGGTGTGGAGTTGCTTTCTGTTGCCCCAGAAGGTCGGACCAGAGCCAACAGATTGACGAAAGGCGGTCATAGAGAGGATCGTACAGAGTTGTTTTCTGTTGGACCAGACACCAGTGGTTGAATAAATCAGAAGAGTTTTCGGCTACACATCAGAAAGAACTTCCTGACAATCAGAGCAGTTCCTCAGGGGAACAGGCTTCCTCGGGAGGTGGTGGGCTCTCCTTCTTTGGAGGTTTTCAAGCAGAGGCTAGAAGGCCATCTGACAGCAATGTGGATTCTGTGAACTTGGGCAGATCATGAGAAGGGAGGGCAGGAAGGGTTGCCTCAGTGCTTCGTTCTCGTGGCCCTTTCTTACGCGCCCAGGGAAATGGTGCTTGCCACTTTGGGAGTCAGGAAGCCATTTTTCTCCAGGCCAGTTTGGCTGGAGATCTTGGAGGGTTTTTTTTGTCATCTTCTGGGCATGGAACAGGAGTCATTGCGGGTGTGGAGGGGGAGTTATTTGTGAATTTCCTGCCTTGTGCAGGGGGTTGGACTAGATGACCCTGGAGGTCCCTTCCAACTCTATGATTCTATGAAATCCCTTATTTCCATTCATGGCCCCGCTTCTTCTCCCATCCTTTGCCCAAATTATGTGTTCAAGCCATAGCCTCTTGACTCTGTCTCACTGTTGCTGCGGTTTTTGTTTTTATAAAGCATATTGGCTACCCAGCAAGCTGTCCAGGGACAGCTGATGGTTTTTGATATTGAAAGGAATCCCAGCAGTACATCTGCCTGCCTTTTTTCATTTGTACCGCAAGGGACTGCTGCTTAAGCACTGGCCAACACCCAGGCAGGAGGTCTCCTGATTCACTGCGTCAGGGTCCACGGTTCTGTATCTTACAAAACTGACCCCCTAGTTCTGTACTCTCTCTGGTGACTCCTCCCCACCCCACCCCACCCTGCCACCAATTCTTTGCTAGGTTGGGGTAGTGATTTTCCTGAACAGCTGTCAAGGCAGAACTACCCTTTGTGAGCTCCACTGAATGCTCTAGCTATGCCGGAATGTCTTGTCACGCAATCTGTGTCTTGTCTTGAAAACATAACCCCATGTCCTTTAGAAGGAAGTCTCATGAATACGTCTAGGCTGTAGCAGGGACCACTTGATACAAACTCCTTATCTCAAGTGGGACTTAAAGCATGATGGTTGTAGGGTTTATATTACCATTAAATGATCACCTCCTGACCGGCTAAAACAACATAATTCTATAACAGTTTGTTCTGAAACGACTAGGGGCATGCCAAAAGTGATGTAAAAGGAAGGAGATTCTTTTTTGGAAATCTTAGTTCACATCATAACGTTGGAATGGCTGCAAAGCTGGTAACTAGGATTATTTTTTTTAAAGAATTATATAAAGAAAAGGGAGAAAGGGAAAAGAGGGGAAGAAAGAAAAGTATAGAAATACACAAAATTCCAGTTTACTATTCTGCATGCATATCTTAGCATTACAATTTCACAACTATTTCGTCATAGTTATTCTACACTTAATCTTGTTTTCTCAGAACTTGAGCTTTAACCAGTCATAAAACGCCCTCCAGGGTCTCAGAAATTTTTCTTCCATTTTTCCTTTTAATATGTTTGTCGATTTGTCCATTTCGGCACATTCCATAATCTTTAATATCAACGCATGTAGCGTTGGAATCTTCAGTGTCCTCCATGCCATTGCAAATAAGATTCTGGCAGCTGTTGCAACATGTAAAATAAAGTATCTATGATTCTTATCTAACTCATCTGGTAAACAGTTTAACAAAAATATTTCTGGCTTAAACGGTATTGTGATATTCAAGACTGACTGTAAGTTTGTAACTAGGATTGACCATCCATTGTGTATGACCCCAATTAAGTAACCTACACTGAAAGTTTAGGGGTGTTTACATTCCAGGACAATCTCTCTCTGAGTGTCTGTTTGGTCATCTAGACCCAACCTTTTTGAGGCTATGGGCACCTTTGGAACTCTAAAATAGGATGGTGGGTGCAACCACAAAATGGCGGCCATGGGAGGTGGTATTTGTGAATTTCCTGCTTTGTGCAGGGGGTTGGACTAGATGACCCTGGAGGTCCCTTCCAACTCTGTGATTCTACGAAGGCAGAGCCACGGACTCATACATGCGCACAGAAGAAAGCCCAAGAGCAGTGGAGAAGAGGAGTAATTTAAACAAACACACGGGGAAAGAGGAATAAGTTGGAGAAAAAAACCAGCCCTGGGTGGCAGCTGCCACTGAAGAGACGTTATTTAAATCTGCTCAACTGATCAGATCTCCAGTGGCCGGTCAGAAGTCTGCTAGGCAAAAGCCTTACCTGGGCCCACCTGCTTTCTAAAAGTGCTCGGCAAGCCCTAGGAGAGGTGTTGACAGACACCGTTTTGGGGAACCTGATCTAGGCGAAAAGTCCAAGATTGGTTTGGTGTGTGGGCAATGCAAAGTCAGTGGTAATTGTTCCGATGTTGAGAGGGGTTGTGTGACTCAGTGGTAGATCGTCTGTTTGTCATGCAGAAGGTCCCAGGTTCAATCCCCGCCACCTCTAGTTAAGGATCAGGTGGTAGGTGATGGGAAAGACCTGTGCCTGAGGCCCCGGAGAGACACGGCCAGTCTGAGCAGACGGTACTGGCCTTGATGGACCCAAGGGTCTGATTCGGTTTAAGGCAGCCTCCTGTGCTTTCATGAGAGTGACTCACGAAAAGTATCCATAAACACAGAAGGATAGTGGTTTGGAAGAACAGGAGTGATTTTCAATAAGAACAGAAGAGAAGCCAATGTTGGATCCGGCCAAAGGCCCATCCAGTCCAACACTCTGGGTCACACTGTGGCCAGAAATACCAGGGGCCATCAGGAGGTCCACCAGTGGGGCCAGGACATTAGAAGCCCCCCCACTGTTGACCCCCCCCCCAAGCACCAAGAAGACAGAGCATCACTTGCCCCAGAGCCCCTATCTATACTTTGTGGCTAATAGCCACTGATGGACCTCTGCTCCATATGCTTATCTAATTCCCTTTTGAAGCCGTCCATGCTTGTAGCCACCACCACCACCTGTGGCAGTGAATTCTTTGAGTGAAGAAGGACTTTCTTTTGTCCGTTCTAACCCGACCGCTCAGCAATTTCACGAGTTCTTGTATTGTGACAAAGGGAGAAAACTACCTCTTTCTCAACCCATGCATGGTCTTATAAACCTCAATCACGTCGTCGTTTCTCCAAATTACAGAGCCCCGAGCGTTTTAACCTCTCTTCATAGCTGTACCACTTTTTTCCCCCTTCCGATGTCCAGGTGAAATCGGGATTCTTCCACGAAAGTGATTCTAAAGCCGTCGCGAAATCCATCAGAGACCGTGTCACCCTGATCAAGAAGATCCGGGAGCGGAGGCAGATGGGCTACCTGGAGGAAAGGAAAGATTCTCAAGGCAAGCTGCCAGCCGGTCTGCCGCTGCTCCAGCCGCAGGGCTCCTCGTTCACCACTCCCTGTCAGCCAAGCAAGATCGAATGTGAAGAAACGGAGGTCGATCAGCACGTTCGACAGCAGATCCTTCAGCAAATGCAGCACAGCTCCTCCCTCATAGGTAACAAGCAGTCGAGTCCTGTTTCCAAATCCTGTGCTGAAATAAGTTTATTCAGGGTAAATCTGAGTATCATCCTGTTCAGCCAGACACCCAGCAGGTGTTTTGGCTCACGGCTCAGTTATTTGCTTGTTTAGCGGAAGGTGATCGGCATGTAAAACTGTGATTTATTTCTGTGGCCGTTGCCCCTGGCTTACTTGTTAGCCATTATCATATTAATTACAGGGTGCTATAAATCATGCTAGTCCTCTACGGGAATAATTTACTTTGTGCTAAGGTTCTCTGTGAACATACATGGAAGTATAGCAGATCTGGTCAAAGAGGTTTTCCAGTGATCAGCGTACCGTTTCCTTTGCTACTCGAAGGATAGCGGCACTAGGGGTGGGGCCCACTTTTATAGCCTTATATTCACTAGGGGCAAGAGATATTATGGACACTGAGACAGCTGGATTCGAGTCCAGTAACATCGGGTTGAGCCAGTTTGGTATAGTGGTTAAGTGCAGGCGGACTCTAATCTTGGAGAACCGGGTTTGATTCCCCACTCCTCCACTCGCACCTGCTGGATGACCTTGGGTGAGCCATAGGTAAGTGGTGGCAGCCGTTCTGCCGCCGGCCCCGCTTCCCGTGGCAGCCATTTTGTGGTGGTGTCCACTGCAATGCATAAGAATTCCAAAGGTGCCCACAAGTTCAAAAAGGACAGGGGATCCCTGGTTTATGTGCCTAAGCAAGTGGTGGGAGGAAGGAAGGGCCTCTGCTGCTAGATCTTGACACCCTCTGCTTCCCTGCCTTCCGTGCCGACACAGCTGACAGCTCGTCCGAGAGAGGAGTGGGGTCAGTCATACTGTCCGACGCCTCCAGCCAACACAGCCTGACTTTCTCCTCGGAGCAGATGACGGGCCCCCAGCAAGCCTCCAACCTCTCGCAAGCCGAGAACAGCGCGCCGGGACAAATCTACGCACCCCAGCAAATGGTGGGGCATTATCAGCCAATGCCGGGGGTAAGGGGCCCGTCGCTTTTAAAAATACGAAGCCCGGTGATGTAGCTACGCCGTTGTCTTTTTTCACAGATAATGTCGGTATTTCAGTACGTGTTGTTACGACCAGTGCTCCCTCTAAGCTGTGGAGTCTTGTGGGCAAAAATTCTACTTTGTGAGCTGCTGGCATTAAAGTTATGAGCGAGCAATTTGGCCACTGCATAAATTACTTTGCTCTGGAGCCGTCCCTTCCTGAGCTAAGGCAAAAATGTGTGAGCTGGAGGCTAAAAGACTGTGAGCTCGCTCACACTAACTCAGCTTAGAGGGAACCCTGGTTACGACTGTATCAATCCCAGAGATGAAATAACAAGTGAGCCATTGTTTAATCAGAATTTATATTTTAGCATGTTCAGATATTACTTTAGAAATATAGATGTGGGAAATTTTTTGAAAAATTATATGAGTTATGAAAATAGCCTAACTCCAAACTGCGAAGAACAGAAGATAAGATTTGAACCAAATGTCTCCAACATGGCGCCTATAAGCACCATGGTGCCTGCTGGCATCTTTCCTGATGCCCACCAAGTGATTTTGGAAAGTGGCCCAGGCCGGCAAGGCTTCTGATCAGCCATTGGAGATTTGATGGGCTGTGCCGATTTTTAAAATGTTGCTTGGGCAGCAGCTGCCGCCACAGCAAAAGAGTGTGATTAAAAGCGAGCTGGCAGCCATTTTGTGGCTGCACCCACTGTGTCAGAATTCCAAAACTGGCCACATGTGGGAAACGTTTGGGGACCCCTGGCTTATGCTGTCTTTATAGATTTCTATATATATATATTTATAGATTTCTGCGGTGGCTCAAGTGGTTAAGACGCTGAACTGCAGGCTGTGGAAGGTCGGTAGTTCAGCAGTCCGAGACCCGAGTGTGCCGCATGACGGAGTGAGCTCCCGTCTCTAGTTCCAGCTCCTGCCAACCTAGCAGTTTGAAAGCAAGAAATTGCAAGTAGATAAATAGGTACTGCTTCGGTGGGAAGGTAACAGCATTCCGTGCGCCTTGGTGTTTAGTCATGCCGGCCACATGACCACGGAAACGTCTTCGGACAGCGCTGGCTCTTTGGCTTTGAAACGGAGATGAGCACCGCAACCCTAGAGTCGGATTCGACTGGCTTTCGAGCAAGGGAACCTTCACCTTTACCTTTATAGATTTCTAAGAGTTTGATTTTGTTCTTTTCTTAAAAACCTAAACATTTTTTAAAGCCTAGGGACTGGTTAGTATAGAGGCTAAGAGAAAGAACTGCGAATCATCAAGTTCTCAGCCTGCCTTACAAACTTTTGGTAAGGATTAACAAGGCAATGCAAATGGAGTGCTGTAAAGGGCCAACAGCTCATTTGACTCCTTCATAGTAAACATTGATAAAGGTAAAAGGTAAAGGTCTCCTTTGCTCGAAAGCCAGTCGAATCCGACTCTAGGGTTGCGGTGCTCATCTCCGTTTCCAAGCCGAAGAGCCAGCGCTGTCCGAACACGTTTCCGTGGTCATGTGGCCGGCATGACTAAACACCGAGGCGCACGGAACGCTGTTCCCTTCTCACCGAAGCGGTACCTATTTATCTACTTGCAATTCTTGCTTTCAAACGGCTAGGTTGGCAGGAGCCGGGGCCAGAGACAGGAGCTCACTCGAGTCTTGAACAGCCGAGCAGCTCAGCGACTTAACCTCTGAGCCACCACGGCCCCAAGCATTGCTAGGAATGTGCAATGGATGTACTGGGGCACTTCCATACTGTTGAACGGTTGGGTTCTTCAATAATGAATACCATAACTATGCTTATGAGCATATCTTTGATTAGGCAATCTGCAATAGAGAAGGTGTCTTAGGAGAATTTAAACAGGGCAGATGAGACTGGGAGCACTGGAGCACAGGCGAGCACATTTTGTTTCTGAGAGCAACTTTTTTTTTAACTGTTCTTCCAGCAGATTCAGCAGCAGCCAACAAACGCGACCCACCCCAATGTGTTGCCGCTAGTCCAGAACCAGCCTCCGGCTCTCCCTACCCACACCTTGGCTCCACCTGCAGCTTGCCAGGCTCAGGTCTCCCCTGTCGCCGTTCAGCAGCTTGCACCGCGAATGGTAAGGACCTCCATGTTTTGCAGTGACTGAAAGGACCCCACATGGATTTAAGCCATTGAGCCATGTTCCCACGGGTAACTGCACGAGGACAGTTTCGTAGGAAATCCTTCTTGTAGTCCAGCTGAAGAGAAGAAGAAGAAGAGATTGGATTTATACCCCCCGCCCTTCACTACCCAAAGGTGTCTCAGAGCGGCTTACGAACTCCTCTCCCTTCCCCTCCCCACAACAGACACCCTGGGACTGAGGTAGGTGGGGCTGAGAGAGCTCTTGACAGAAACTGCTCTTTTTCAAGAGTCAGCTGTGTCAGAACTATGGCTTCCCCAAGGTCATCCAGCAGCTGCGAATGGAGGAGTGGGGAATCAAACCCGGTTCTCCCAGATTAGAGCCCGCGCACTTAACCACGACACCAAACTGACTCTCCTTTTTTAAAAAGTCTGTCTGGAGTAGGCCTGCACTTCGAGGGAGATAAGCAGGCAAGCGAGTGAACATCTGACTGCCGTGGCCCTTCAGTCGCTCACCTGCCCAGGGAAATCAGTTGGTTCCAGCGGTGGTGCCAAGTTGCATCAATGCAGGTTGCTTACCCACCTACTTGCTCACCTCTTTTGGGGCAGTGGTGGCCATCAGATTATTTGGAGGTACCTCTGCTGCCGAGAGGTAGAAGGGCAGTCTGTCAGTCAAGCAGCCGCTGCTCCCCTAGGAACCACTGCAACTTGTTGTTCCAGGTGGGCAGCAGGACATAGGAGCAGCCAGCAGTGTCACTTGCCCGCTTGCTTTTATTTCCAGGCAGCGGCCGCCGCTCCTTCCTGCTGTAGCTGCACAGGTAGGCCAGTGTTCTTTTGGAACAGAGGAAAGGAGGACCGAAGTTGGCAGTGGGCCAGTTCCTGGGGCCCCGGCCGCTGCCCAAAAGTACAGTTGCTGATGTGACCCCTGACAAGCGGAGATACTTTGTGCACAAAGACTGATTGTGCAGGAAGGACTTTGTGGAAATTGTTATGAGCACTGTTGATGGAGCTTAGACACGGTGCAGTTGTCGAACGAGGTGTTCTGATATGGGTTTTGATAGGGCAAAGTGGCCGTCCAGCTCTGAACGATAAACCTGTTTGTTACGAGCTCTGTTTTCAGTTGACCGAGACACGTGGTAGGCTAGAAGAGGAAAAGAACAGATCAGTGCCAGAGCTGTGCAGGAAAAAGAATGATTCTGGGATCAAATAACTTTTTGTTTTATCAGTATCTGCTCGTGAAATGTGCAGTTTTTGAGGGAAGAAACTCCTGGACGAGCCGCCTGAGAAGTTGGTGGTTCAAGGCAATGCTGTGTTAATAGTAGTCACCTGCTTGCCAGGAGGTAATCTTGGGAGGGTTTTTTCTGAGTTCATCTTGGGTCTCTGTGTTTCTCAGGACGACAGCATCTGCCGCAGCAAGAAGCTGCATTGAAACCCTGCCAGCTGCAGCCGATAGGTTGGACCGATGCAACCTATGCCAGTCTAATGCTGGTAAACGATTCCAAGGCTATTTCAAGAAAGTGTTTTTGGCAAGGATAGAGAGAACGGCCCTTGTTGGCTGGGAAGGATGAGCTGAGTTTAAATGTAGTCTGCATCAAGAGCGGGTCTCTATGTGTAAGAACAGAAAGGGATTTTGCTCCAACTGCAATTATTCAGAGGATCTTGAGCTCTGTGATATAGAAGAAGAAGAGGAGGAAGACGAAGAGGAAGAAGAAGAGGAGGAGATTGGATTTATACCTCACCCTTCAGTCAGAGTTTCAGAGCGGCTTATAAACTCCTTCCCCTCCCCACAACAGACACCCTGTGAGCAGTGTTCCCTCTAAGCTGAGTTAGTGTGAGCTAGCTCACAGTTTTTTAGCCTCCGGCTCACACATTTTTGCCTTCACTCAGGAAGGATGGCTCCAGAACAAACTAATTTATGCAGTAGCCAAATCTCTCGCTCACAACTTTGATTTATGCAGTAGCCAAATCACTCGCTCACAACTTTGGTGCCAGGAGCTCACAAAGTAGAAGTTTTGCTCACAAGACTCCACAGCTTAGAGGGAGCATTGCCTGTGAGGTAGGTGGGGCTGAGAGAGCTCTCTCGAGAACTGCTCCTGAGAGAATGGCTCTGAGAGAACTTCCCTCACAGCATTCGCTCCTGGAAAGGACAGAGGGCTAATGTAATATATAACTCCCCTCTGAGGGCCAAGCTGCACATTACTCACAAATGCCTGTTAACTATAGCGCAGTGTCCCTCTCCCCAAGATACCAACCAAGTTTCAAGAAGTTACTTTTTCCCCACTATAGAGAACAATGGAGGGGATGGGGCAACCTGTTTGGGGGCCTGTAGAATTGGTACCCTGGTTCAATGTTCTTGACATTTGGTGGGTATCTTGGGGAGAGGCTCCAGCAGGCTACCCTGTGAGTTTGGAGCCTCCCTCAAACCCCCTCTCCTCCAGCCCCCAGAATATACCCTATGTTTTCACCATTGACTTCAATGGCCCATAGGATATAATGGGGCCGAATTGCCGCCGAAATTCGGCGGCAATTCGGCAGCAAGCCGATTCAGATCAGAGAATCTGAACCGACCCGCAGCAGCCCGAAAGGGGCCCGAATGGGCCATTTTTGGGGGTGCATTCAGTTCAGACAAACCGAATGCACATCCCTAGAATACATATGCTGATCTGCTGATTCCAGATGAGCTGTGTTATCAGCACAAGCTGATTTACCGAAGGAGCAAGAAGACCGTACCCCTTTCATGAGGAGGCCTGAGGGAAGCCTACACTGGGAAGAGCAACGTCTACTGTCCATAAAAGCAGAACGTGTTTCAGGGACCGAAAGCACAGTAACCTGCTGGCTCATCTTCATGCCACAGACTTCCAAAGGATATACAATCAGCTGTGTTTCCTGTAAGCTGAGTTAGTGTGAGCTAGCCTCCGGGTCACGCATTTTCATCTCAGCTCAGGAAAGGATGGCGCCAGACCAAACTAATTTACTAAATCGCTCACTCACAAATACCAGTAGCTCACAAACTAGAATCTTTGCTCACAAGACTCCAGAGCTTAGAGGGAGCATTGGCTACCAGGGGTAACCACTGGCAAGCTAGGCAGGTGATGGTAAACCTGGATCTCAGCACAAAGCATGTTCCATCAACGGCTGGGATTGTTTGCACCGAGGAACCTGCTGAGAGAGAGAGACCAAGAAAGAAAGAGAGAGAGAGAGAGACCAGTGGAGGATAATGGCAACTTCTCCCACTGGGTGGGTTTGATGAAGAACTACATCCTTGGCTGGGACAGTTTGCAGAAGAACAACATTATCACCATCATCCAGCCAGGTTTCATTTGGACATGGCAGATCAATAGATCCCGTTACCTTCTTATTGCACAATTTAGTGGTGGTGGGGGGTCCCCACCACTAAATCGTGCAATAAGAAGATAACGGGAGTATTGCAGCCGCATCACTTGCATACTCACAACCTGGTCCGTGTATCATTCCCGGCCTGGGTCCTAGGAGATAAGGCGGGATAGAAATGTTATAAATAATTCAGTCGAAGTAGGGGTTATTCTGAGACCCCACCACCAATGCTCCCTCTAAGCTGTGGAGTCTTCCGAGCAAAAATTCTACTTTGTGAGCTACTGGCATTAAAGTTGTGAGCGAGCGATTTGGCTTCTGCATAAATTAGTTTGCTCTGGAGCCATCCCTTCCTGAGCTAAGACAAAAATGTGTGAGCTAGAGGCTAAAAAACCCTGTGAGCTAGCTCACACTAACTCAGTTTAGAGGGAGCACTGGCTGTCACTCAATTCTAGGCCAGTCATCATCTCACCTCTAGGTGCAAGGGGCAGTCACAGCCAGGCACATTGAGCCCATGAGGATAGCAGTTCCGAAAGGTTAAAGCGCTTAGGGCTCTTTAGCTTGGAGAAACGACGACTGAGGGGTGACATGATTGAGGTTTATAAGATTATTCATGGGATAGAGCAGGTCGAGAAGGAAGTACTTTTCTCCCTTTCTCACAATACAAGAACTCGTGGGCATTCAATGAAATAGGGACTCTGGGGCAAGTGATGCTCTGTCTTCTTGGTGCTTGGGGGGGGTCAACAGTGGGAGGGCTTCTAATGTCCTGGCCCCACTGGTGGACCTCCTGATGGCACTGGTATTTCTGGCCACTGTGTGAGTGTTGGTCTGGATGGGCCTTTGGCCTGATCCAACATTGGCGTCTCTTATGTTCTTATGAAACCAAGAACAGGGGAGGGAAGAAGATGCCAAAAGCTCATCACCCTCCCTTGTTGGTGGCCAAGTGGTGCCTGCCAATAACCAGCTACTGATGGTTGTCATTGGAAGCTGTCAGTAAGGTGGCAACCTGGAAGTCAGTTCACACATATATTGGACACCACCGGATAGCTGCATAGTCTTCGGCTGATGCTACCTGTGGGAGAACAGCTGAGATTTTTCCGAATTTTCCCTGTCTCATTGGATGTGCTGCTTTTTGACATCCCGCGAGTCAGTATTTCTCCATGGCAGAAGCACTGGAAGGAAGAAAAAGCGTCACTTGCTGGGAATGTGTCTTCTCAAATGTTCCAGGGTGGACCTGTCTACCCACCTATCTCCCTTTCCCCAAACAAAAGGCTGGTTTAGAATACAGCACAAAACAAAAGGGGTCACAGATATCCACAGGGAAAACAACACACAAGCAAACCCTGTGATATGAACAACAGGGTACTCATAATGTTGGACTATGCGGACTTTTTTTACAATATTGTATAAGTGAGAATGTTGGACAAATTGTTGCAATTTTGTAAAGTTTTAGAAAAGCAATGTAAATCTTATAAATGTTGTTCATATCACAGGGTTTGCTTGTGTGTTGTTTTTCCTGTGGTTTAGAATACAAGCATGATAGAAAATAAAGAATTGGTTTTGGGTGCGCTAATATGGCTATGTAGGCAGGTTAATTCAAGTCCAGTGGGATGTTAACTCTTTCCTATCAAGTACTTCTCTAGTTGTCACCGATGAGTGACAGATTTTTAGCCTGAGCTCCACAGTGAAAAAAGGGTGCACATTTGGTTTTCTGAGTAGCTCTGGAAAAGCCCCTCTACTTGGTATTTTTTTAGCAGACCCTCTGCATATTACCAGGAAGAGATACATACCAAGAATCACCATTTCCCCTTCCTTGGAGCCCCTGAGAATGAACATTCACAGTGTGGCGATTTTTCTATCTCCTCTATTAGTCTGACCTTTCCTTGGTCCTGCTTAGACCACAGCCGAGAGAAATGCGAGTTGCCAACTACTGGACCCCCTGCCGAAAGAACGCTGAATTGCTCCTTGCTCCCAGAAATAACGTATGGCTACGGCAATTATTTTCTGCTGCCAGGGGTTCCAGGATTTTACAGGCAATATCTGCGGAATGTTTTCCTGCTATGTTGTATGAGAAGATATTTTTTTTCTTTTTGTATGTGTGGGACTGAAATTTCTTAAAATAAGATATTGTTGCAAAGGTGATCTGTCTTAACCTGAATATTTTTTTCCCCCCTCAGCCTCCAGATCCACAAGTATCCTACGGCATGGAGGGACAGACTTTGGATGGATCTATCATGGGAGTCCCTCAGCAGATCTTGGCCGTCACCTCCCCTCAGACCATACCTGCTCCACAAACAATGAACCAGCCCATGCCACCTAACAAGCAGTTGGACTCAGCCGCTCAAGTGGGGGGTCAGGTGTCAGCTGCCACAGGATCAGTGGAAGTGGAGCACGTGTCCACCAGTTTTGTGCCTGTCAGTCATTCACCTGTGCTACAGGGGAAGTCCTCGGTTCAGTTTATCAACAGTATTCAGAACTTAGCCCAGGGTCTCCCAAACACCTCGGCTGCACAGCCAGTCCCACAGGGAGTCACGTCCATGCAACAGCCTCAGCAAGGTCTCCAGCAAGCAGCCTCTACACAGCAACCCCAGCAAGTTCCCGAGCAGGTGGCGTCCACGCAACAGGCGGCTCAGCAGGTGATTTCCGCACAACAAATCCCCCAACAGGTGACATCCGCGCAGCAAGTCCCACAGCAAGTGACATCCACGCCGCAGGTTCTCCAGCAGATTCCTGTGCAGCTGGCATCCATGCAGCCAGTGGTGTCTGCACAGCAGCAACAGCAGGTGCCCTCCATGCAGCAGGGGCCTCAGCAGGTGTCCTCCATGCAGCAGCCCCTGCAAGTTCCACAGCAGGTGGTGCCCACACAGCCATCTCAACACATTTCCCAGCAAGTGCCATCCTTACAGCAGTCCCAGCAGGCGGCGCTGCAGCAAGCCCAGCAGCAAGCCCAACAGGTGGCGTCCCTGCAGCAACCCCAACAGGCTCCCCAGCAGATGGCGTCTCTGCAGCAACCCCAACAGGGGGTGTCTCTGCAGCAACCCCAACAGGTCCCCCAGCAGATGTCATCTTTGCAGCAACCCCAGCAGGCTCCCCAGCAGATGGCGTCTCTGCAGCAACCCCAACAGGGGGTGTCTCTGCAGCAACCCCAACAGGCTCCCCAACAGATGGCGTCTCTCCAGCAACCCCAACAGGTTCCCCAACAGATGGCGTCTCTGCAGCAACCCCAACAGGCTCCCCAACAGATGTCATCTTTGCAGCAACCCCAACAGGCTCCCCAGCAGATGGCGTCACTGCAGCAACCCCAACAGGTTCCCCAACAGGGGGTGTCTCTGCAGCAACCCCAACAGGTCCCCCAGCAGATGGCGTCTTTGCAGCAACCCCAACAGGCTCCCCAGCAGATGGCGTCACTGCAGCAACCCCAACAGGGGGTGTCTCTGCAGCAACCCCAGCAGGTTCCCCAGCAGGTGGCGTCCCTGCAGCAACCCCAGCAGGTTCCCCAGCAGGTGGCGTCCCTGCAGCAACCCCAGCAGGTTCCCCAGCAGGTGGCGTCCCTGCAGCAACCCCAGCAGGTTCCCCAGCAGGTGGCGTCCCTGCAGCAACCCCAGCAGGTTCCCCAGCAGGTGGCGTCCCTGCAGCAACCCCAGCAGGTTCCCCAGCAGGTGGCGTCCCTGCAGCAACCCCAGCAGGTTCCCCAGCAGGTGGCGTCCCTGCAGCAACCCCAGCAGGTTCCCCAGCAGGTGGCGTCCCTGCAGCAACCCCAGCAGGTTCCCCAGCAGGTGGCGTCCCTGCAGCAACCCCAGCAGGTTCCCCAGCAGGTGGCGTCCCTGCAGCAACCCCAGCAGGTTCCCCAGCAGGTGGCGTCCCTGCAGCAACCCCAGCAGGTTCCCCAGCAGGTGGCGTCCCTGCAGCAACCCCAGCAGGTTCCCCAGCAGGTGGCGTCCCTGCAGCAACCCCAGCAGGTTCCCCAGCAGGTGGCGTCCCTGCAGCAACCCCAGCAGGTTCCCCAGCAGATGACATCTCTGCAGCAACCCCAACAAGTTCCCCAACAGATGGCATCCCTGCAGCAGCCCCAACAGGTTCCGCAGCAGATGGTGTCCCTGCAGCAACCCCAACAGGTGGTGTCCCTACAGCAGAACCAGCAGGTTCCCCTGCAGCAACTTCAACAGGTTCCCCAGCAGATGGCGTCGTTGCAGCAACCCCAGCAAGTTCCCCAGCAGGTGGCGTCCCTGCAGCAACCCCAGCAGATGGCATCCCTGCAGCAACCCCAGCAGATGGCGTCCCTGCAGCAACCCCAGCAGATGGCGTCCCTGCAGCAGCAACAGGTTCCCCAGCAGATGGCGTCCCTGCAGCAACCCCAGCAGGTGATGTCCCTGCAGCAACCCCAACAAGTGGCATCTCTGCAGCAACCTCAACAGGTTCCCCAGCAGGTGGCGTCCCTGCAGCAACCCCAGCAGATGGTATCTTTGCAGCAACAACAGGTTCCCCAGCAGATGGTGTCCCTGCAGCAAACCCAACAGGTTCCCCAGCAGGTGGCGTCCCTGCAGCAACCCCAACAGGTGATGTCTTTTCAGCAACCACAACAGATGCCCCAGCAGATGGCGTCCCTGCAGCAACCCCAGCAGGCCATGTCTTTGCAGCAACCCCAACAGGTTCCCCAGCAGATGGTGTCCCTGCAGCAACCCCAGCAAATTCCCCAGCAGGTGGCATCCCTGCAGCAACCCCCACAGGTTCCCCAGCAGGTGGCCTCCATGCAGCACGCCCAACAGGTTCCTCAGCAGGTGGCGACCTTGCAGCAGCCTGAACAGGTTCTCCAGCAGGTGGCATCAGTTCAACAGCCACCTCAGGGGGCAGTCATGCAGCAGTCTGCACAAGTTGCCCAGCAGGTCGGTTCCTTGCAGCAGGATCCCCAGCAGATGGCTTCCATCCAGCATCCCCAGCAAGCAGTGTCTGCGCATCAGATCTCTACCGTGCCGCCTTCTCAGCAGATGGCACCAGCGCAGCCAAGCCAGCCGTATCAAGGGTTGCCTGTCGATTCTTTGGTGCAGGCTTCTCTGGCCCAGCAAGAGCAGCAGGCGATTCACCAGTCAGCAGATCAACATACGTGTGCAATGCAACAGATGTTGTACCACCTTCCTCTGCAGCAACAGAAGCAGGAACAGTTTGTTCTGCACGCCAGTTCTGTGGAGCAGTTGCCCCCTGCCGTCCAGCAGGACACGGAAAAACAGCAGGCAGAGCTCTTGGGCTCAGCTTCAGAACAGGTGGCTTATCCAGTGCAGAGCCAGTACCAGTTGCAAGGCCAAGAACAACTGATGTACCAGATGCAGCCCCCGCATCAGCTTCAGCCTCCGGAGCAGCCAGCGCACCAAGCACAGCCAAACAACCAGCTGCAGGCTGCTGAGCATGTGGCATGTCAGATGCACGTTGCTTACTCGATGCAGGGTCCAGAGCAACCTCCGTGCCCAGATCAATTAGTTTATGCAGTTCCGGGGACCTATCCAGGGCAGGCCTTGGATCAGCCAACATATCCAATGCAGCCTTTCTACCCTGGGCAGGCAACTTACGTTACTCAGCCAACACCCTATCTTTCTCAGCCTCCAGAGATCCAGCAGCCTCACTTAGCCGTTCAGGCGACAGAGCAGCCAAATTTTGCAATGTGCTCCCCCAAGCAGTCAGCCTATAGGGTGCAGGACGGCGGTGCCAGCAGCGTGGAGCAACAGATCCGCTTGGCGCAACCCACAGAAGTCCACGCTTATCCTGCAGAGCAGCAACCGTCTGAGCTGCCGGCGTATCTGGTCCAGCAAGATCCTGGCAGAGGAGGGAACCAACAGCTACAGCCTCCTCACGTGGTGCCTCAGCTTGCGGAAGGGCAACAGCCAGGATTGCAAGTCCCCTTCCCCACATCTCAGCCCTCTTTCGTGCCACATGTCCAGCCCCAAGCTCCGTACCAGGAGTTCTGCCAGCATCCCGTCCCTCAGCTGCAGGCCTCAGGCTCGGCTCAGTCACTCCAAGCCGCCGTCCCGCAGTCTGCCCTGAACCAGTTACAGACCCTGTCCCCTCTCCCCGAGCAGCCAGAGCAAGCTTATGCAACGCAGCAACCCCCTGAACTGCCGGGGTTCTTGCACAGCACTCATGTCCTCCGGCAGCCTCAAGCATTTCAGCCCACCGACAATAGCGAGCCGTTTCCACCCCTGCCCGTGCAGCCGGCGCATGTCCCACACCAGCCAGTTTGTCAGACGCCCATGTTGTCAGCAGAGTCGATGGCCCAGCAGCAGGCGTCTACTAAGAGTTCTCTGGCGGCAGCCTCGAACCTGCAAACACTGCTTAGCGTGACAACTCAGCCACAAGTTCCAGGACAAGATGCCCCACAGGTATGTCTGTTACTGTAAAAAATAATCTGTTTTCAAGCATTAAAGGTAAAGGTAAAGGTTCCCTTGCTCGAAAGCCAGTCGAGCCCGACTCTAGGGTTGCGGTGCTCATCTCCGTCTCAAAGCCGAAGAGCCAGCGCTGTCCGAAGACGTTTCCGTGGTCACGTGGCCGGCATGACTAAACACCAAGGCGCGCGGAACGCTGTTACCTTCCCACCGAAGTGGTACCTATTTATCTACTTGCAGTTTCTTGCTTTCGAACTGCTAGGTTGGCAGGAGTTTCAAGCATTCTCTCCCCCCCCCCCAAAAAAAAAGGAAACTGGGAGATTCTCAACAGAACGGCTGCGTAATTTTTTTAATGGTGAAAGAGTACACGTTTTAGCTACTTATCAGAAGAGCTCTCACCCAGATAGGTTTTGAGGGGCCCCGTGCAGAGAGTTCTCAGGGCCCCTTTGTAATGATTTCATGTTTTGGTGTGTGTGTTTCTTTAAATGTTTCGTTTGACTGCAGTACTGTAAGAAGAGTGATAGAGGGAGACAAGTGTGATGTGATTGGCTGATGAGTGAGAGTGCGGGAGGAGGGGTGTCTATGAGAGGAATTCTGTGTCTGAAATTTGAAGAGAGTATAGTCTGTGTGACTATGGGAGTTTGCATCTATTCTGTGTGAATAAGACAAACCGTTTAGTCTGTGTGACTATGAGAGCTTGAGTCTATTCTGTGTAAAGAAGACAAAGAGTTTAGCCTGTGTGGCTATATATATATATGAGAGAGAGAGATTAGACTGAGTGTCTAAGCCTGTCAGAGTGGTGTTGTGGAGTTTGAGAGCCTGTTTATGATACCAAGCTTTGCCAGTTATATTTACAAGTTCCTTTCTTCAGCAACAGTTCAAAATAACCAGAAACCTATTTTGTTCTTTATTAAATAAATCAATCTTTGTTTAAACTTATCCCAGCAATCAGAATAGTCCTTCCTCAGGGCCACATAGTCCTCTGAAGTGCCCAGACCCTAGGTCATTCTACCAAAAGAGAAGAGATTTGGAATTTTTAAAGGAGAAACAGCCTCCCCAGTTAGCAAGGACGTCACACCCTTCCCCTCCTCTATCCACCACCAGTCTCCCGTGCCCCGATTTCCTTCCTCCGACCTGGATGCCTCCCATCATTTTAAAGGAGAAACAGCCTCCCCACCACCAGTCTCCCGTGCCCCAACTTCCTTCCTCCGACCTGGATGCCTCCCATCTTCCTGTGTGTCCTTCCCCTGCCCCGAACTCTCCCACTGCCCACGCTCACCATTGCCTGCAGCCCTTTCCCCGGTGGCACTGGGCAGTGCTTGCAACTGGGAGCATGGTGGAGTGCTAGCAATGAAGTGAATGGTGGTTGTATCTTTTTACATCAGTGGGCCCTGCCAGAAGCTCTGGCAGCTGCCTCACCTCAGGGTATGCTGACGCTGGCCCTGCCCCCAACTCTAAGGAGTCCACCCCACCCTCTACTAGCTCATCAAGCGTTAAAGTCCTGAGCTGGTAGAATAAAAACTGTGTTAATGCAAGTGAAAGAACAGAGCCATAAGAAAAACAAAACACAACTATGACACACTGTGGGTCAGTGGTCGAGCATCTGCTTGGTGTGCCAAGGGTCCCAGGTTCAATCCCCGACATCCCCAGTAAGGATCAGGTTATAGGTGATGTAGAAGACCTCCGCCTGAGACCCTGGAGAGCCGCTGCCAGTCTGAGTAGACAAGACGGACCTTGACGGACCCAGGGTCTGATTCAGTAAAAGGCGACTTCGTGTGAACCCACAAATTGCTTTCAGTCTCCCCCCAAATACGTAATTTGCATGTCGTTTGTTTGCCAATAACGTTCTGAAGTTTGCTCTCCCTTCCGTTTATCTTTTTTTAAAAAAATAGCATTTAGCATGTATGATTTCATTTAGGAATGCAGAGAAAGGACCAAGTAGTAACCAGCGCTAACAGCTGTATTTGTGAAGCTTCCAGGATGAGGGAGCCCGAAACAAAGCACGCTTTCTAATACAAAGCAACCTAAAACTCAGGTCCACGTTGCAAATTTTAATCGTGGCTGGGGGGAAAAGCTGATGGTGAAGGTGATGATAGGACACAGGCAGGGACTGTGCGACTGAACAACAAGTGTTCCCTCTAAGCTGAGTTAGTGTGAGCTAGCTCACAGTTTTTTAGCCCCTGGCTCACACATTTTTGCCTTCGCTCAGGAAGGGATGGCTCCAGAGCAAACTAATTTATGCAGTATCCAAATCGCTCGCTCACAACTTTAATGCCAGCAGCTCACAAAGTAGAATTTTTGCTCAATAGACTCTACAGTTTAGAGGGAACATTCAGGGCCAGCTCACTTGCTCTAGAGCCATCCCAGTTGAGCTCATTTGTTGTGCAGATACAGCCCTAACATACTATGTCTGCCCTAGCTCCAAACATGCAGTTTCATGCCAGTCTGTGTATCTGTTGGGCTGCCAGCCGGGCCCTTAATTTCCACGTCGTCTGCCGCGATCAAAACAGAAAAGAATTAGATTTCCAGGTTTCTGCCACACAGTGAGTGCTAAATAACAGAACGATAACCGGAGAGTACAAGGGGGTAGGCACGAACGGCTATGTCTCATCACAATGTTTCTATTGTCCCAAAAGCTCAAGGCAGTCCTCTCCTTGAGCAGTTTCTTCCACAAGCTAGTGGTGCAGAACAATTGCCAGATGCCGTTCAGTAGGACACTGAGCCTTGCTCGTTTCTCCGAATGTGTGAGTTGCTCAAAGTTTTGTAACATCCCGTAGGTTTTCCAGAGCTCCACACACACACACCCATCCCACAGTGTCCTCTCTGTCTCCTAGTTTCTGGAGTAATCGCATTTTGGGTCTAGGTGTATTTCTTGAGGACCAGTTCAAACGTTAGAAAGTCCTTGTGTCTTCCACGTGGCTGCCGCAGGCCTGTGCTTGGAAATTAATTCGAAGGCTGCACACGTGTTTGATTCAGCTTGGGACCGTGGTACACAGAGAGAAGCCTTTTTAACCTCTCACTACCAGCCCACCACATGCGGTTTCCTAACCTGAAATGGCCCCAGGGAGCTCTTATTGAACCTATTGGAGAAACTTGGATGTAGCCCCCACACCCTGTCTAGGGCTATTTCACATTGGGCAATAGTGTCTGTGCAACGCTTGATCCCTCTCCCCTTCTTGGGAGCCACAGTCCCAATCTGAGTTGTCTTTACACTAGAGATGTAAAATTTCCGGAAATTTTGAAGCTTGGGAAGAAACCCGTTTTTTTCTGATTTTTTTCGGGGGAAAACGGAAATTTTCGGAAAAATTGAAAAAATGCTACATTAGCATTTCTTTTGTCTTTTCTAGATTGAAAGTCATTCTGTTACTTTAGGAACATAAAATATGACTATGGACATTTTTACTTGGCATGAAATTATCACAATTAGCATATTAAAAATATAGTGTATTCAAACAATTATTTCAAACAGAATACCCACCCACATGCAAAAACAAAACTGAAACTTTTTTATTTTCTTCTGACAATTGCACCTCCTAAAGGAAGAAATGCATCTTGTTCTTGCATTGGAGGGTTCAGTTTGTAACCTAGGACTTGCTTGTCCTCAGTGCACAGAAATTAGATCAATCTGATACCATATATATATATTTTAGAAATGATTTGGAAAATATTTGAACACCTAGTCTTAAAATATTTTATTCATCATGTTAAAATAAAACGTTCCATAATCAATTTTTTTTCTTTTTCGGAAAAAAAACAAAAAGGCTTCAGGAAAAAAAACGGGGAAAAAATGTTTTTCCCCTCAATTTTTCCGATTTTCCCCCGGGCCTTCACATCTCTACTTTACACAGGCACTTGGGAATTAAGTTCTGAGCATAAGACTCCAGGCGTACGTTTGATTGACAGGGCCTGCAGGAGACATGTGAAGGACGCAAGACCTGTATGACGTGTGAACTGACCCTGGTCCCCAGCATGGTGCTCATGGGTGCCAGGGTGCCCACCAACACTTTTCCTGGCATCTGCCAAGTGCTTTTCGAAAGTGGGTGGGGTCAGGTGGGGCTTTTGTTTAGCAAGGCCTCTGATTGAAGATTTCATTGGCTGTGCGGATTTTTTAAAATGTTGCTTTGGCAGCAGCTGCCTCCACAGCCAGAGGATCGTCACCGTGTGACTGAAGTCATGCTGTGCCAGTCGTGAAGGAACAAGCAAAATACACAGTTCAAGATATGTTCTCAAATAGGCACATATATATATGTGTGTGTTTGTGTTTGTGTGTGTGTATGTATATGTATATATATATAGATACACACACACACATAATGACTGCGACTGAACAACAACAATTCATAATGAAACATGCCCCTCATAAATTTTAATAGACTTCTCCAGTAATTTACCATCAGCCCTTGTGATTTCTATTTCATTATCTTTTAGTAAGCGGTGATAGTCAATCCCATTCACCAGGTTACTGGGAGGGAGGGAGAGATTACCAAACAGTTCCCTCCGGGGATTAAAATGTAGCCGGCAGTCCTGCAATATATGTTGGATAGAATCTGGAATGTTTGCCCCACAAGGACAGACTCTCTCACTATTCGGAATTTGGAGGAATCTGCCATAAACAACGTTAGAAGGGAAAGAATTCATCCTCGCCCACATAAATGCTCTCCTTTGTTGGGGGCTTTCAAGATCACATGGCCATTTCCCCAATGGGTTGAGCGAGGCCAAGCACCGCAGAATTCCAAAGGTGCCTGACTCAAAAAAGGTTGAGGACCAAGCTCTACTGATTGTTTCTTCTACAGCCATTACAGACTTTTTTTCCTTTTAGAGGTAGGATGCACATGTAGGTAGGATGTACTGAAAACAACCATGTTGTATAAAATAATTAGTAATGTACTGAATGTACTGAAAACAACCAAGTTGTATAAAATAATTAGTAAGTGCCATAAAATCTTGGATCATACAAATGAAATACGTGCCTTGAGTTCCCTACGTTTCGTTTTCGTTTGCACTAACGTGTTCAGCGTGCAGTTATTAAGAGTTATATTTTCTTTGGAACGAATCGGTCTAAAGCAGATTTAATTGCCCTTTTAGGGAGGGTGCAGAAGAAATAAAAGTCCCCCTTGTTCCCGTTTTGTGATCTTAATGCTCGCTAACCAGTTCAAATGTTTCTAATCTGTTTCATGAGTGGTATTTGTGGCAGAGATTTTGATAAACTGACAGGTATGGCTTTCTGGGGGAACTAAATGCAAGACTGATTTTGAACAATGGAAAAATTGTTAAAAATGTAACTGCTCTGTCAGAAATAGGCGACTACCCCAGTTACTCCTTTCTTTAACACTGTTCTTCCACCAACCGGATTTTCTTCATAATGTCCAAGAAGCATGACTTATTCAGTCATCCTGGCTCAGAACCAGAATCTTTCACTGTCCGGCACTTTGGTTTCTTCCCCAATTTTGTTATTTCCAACAGTTATATAACTTTTGCTGTCTTCAGACCCCGGATGGCAAACACCTCCCACCCACCCCCATTAGCTCACCCATGACCTCAGTTGCATGCCTTCCCTATCTAACTTTGCCTCTTTTTCTTTCATATACGGTTCCCACAGGTTCTCTCCATTGTTGACTTCTACCCCCTTCCGTTGGCTGCTTGGGCTCCTAATCTCTTAGTTTAACAGTCTCCTGGAATCTCTTCTAATTCAGCCTACCTATCGTGTCAACTCCCCTGTCTGTGGATGTGGCATAGGGCAGGGGTCCCTAATGTGGTACCCACGGGCACCATGGTGCCTGCTGACATTGGTGCACTGGTTAAGAGCGGCGGACTCTAATCTGGGAGAACCGGGTTTGATTCCCCACTCCTCCGCATGCAGGCAGCTGGGTGACCTTGGGCCAGTCTCAGTTCTCTCGGAGCTGTTCTCTCAAAAGCAGTTCTCTCAGCCCCACCTACCTCACAGGGTGTCTGTTGTGGGGAGGGGAAGGGAAGGAGATTGAAAGCCGCTCTGAGACTCTGAGTGAAGGGCGGGGTATAAATCCAACGCTTCTTCTTTCCTGGTTCCTGCCAAATGTTTGGGGCTTTTGCCCAGCAAGGCTTCTGACCGGCTGTGCAGATTTTTTTAAAATGTTGCTTCAGCAGCAGCTGCCTCCACTGCACGAGCATTGTAATTGAAGGTAAGCTGCAGCATCCGTTTTGTTCCCGGCTCTGCCTCCTTTGGCAGACGTTTTGTGGCTGTGCCCACCACACTGTGTCAGAATTCCAAAGGTGCCCGCAGGCACTAAATGGTCGGGGACCCCTGGCATGAGGTTTTAATTCCAGCCAAACTGATCTCTCACTTCTTTATAGGAAGCTAACATTCCGTGGTTCCTTTTCCACTGAATATTAATAGGAGTTCGAAACTATCACATCAAGTCGTCAGGAGTCAGTCCCAGTTTGTAGCACTGAACTGCCAGGCCGTAATAATCTTGGAACTTTTTTCTGCCTTCTGTTCCCTTCCTCATACTGTTTCCTGGTGATAGTGATGGCCTTCATTTATGTACCTGATAGGTGAATGTATCACTGAGAACTGTAATAGCAGTCCCATCTAGAGCATGGCTCAGAGTCTAGCTGTGGTAAAAAGGTAAAGGTTTCCCTTGCTCGAAAGCTAGTCGAATCCAACTCAAGGGATGCGGTGCTCATCTCTGTTTCCAAACCGAAGAGCCAGCATTATCTGAAGGCATTTCTGTGGTCATGTGGCCGGCATGACTAAATGCCGAGGCGCATGGAGCGCTGTTACCTTCCCACCAAAGCAGTACCTATTTATCTACTTGCAATTTCTTGCTTTCGAACTGCTAGGTTGGCAGGAGCTGGGGCCAGAGATGGGAGCTCTCCGTCACGTGGCACTCGGGTCTCAAACTGCCGAACTACAGACCTCAGTGTCTTAACCTCTGAGCCACCACGGCCCCTGTCTGGCTGTGGTACCGGACCACAAGGAGGGCTTTCTTGTTAGTAGTCGTGGCTATGGGTAATGAAAGGGGGTTTGCTTGATTATTCTTTCCTTTAAGATTGCAGCTCTTTTTCTTTCTACCTTTGCTATGTTGAGTTGAGTTTCCCCTCTTAAGAAGTTTAATTGTGATCAAGAATGCCAAACAAACAAGGAGTGTAGAGAACACTGGTCAAAATGTGCCAACTCCTTGATCCAGTTTGTAGATGAAGGAGAAGTAGTATTTACTGGTCTCATTCTTCTGTACATCTAAGATCACCAAGTACATTTGTGGCCACTTGGGGAACTGTAAGCTAGGTACTGGGTTACAAGATTGGATTGATTCTATGGCATAAAAATAAACATTTTAAATATATATATTGTGGGTATAGCTATATAAAAGTGTCTTTTCCTTTACATGATAGTTAGTCACAAAGCCATTCTTTTCACAGACACCATGTCATAAAGTGTAGTATAACTTGTCCCAGAGTTTTAATTCAGTCTCTCTTAATTTAATTTAACTTTTTCTCCGACAATTATGAATAGTAGCAATATCATCTAGGTAAGATATCTGTCAATACATATAGATATAAATTACCTTCACAGAAACAAATGCAAAACTAGAATCTCCAGATTTAGTAAGCTAAAATGCTGGTTCATCTCTAGAGTGAATTTTGGATGTTTTTAAAAGCACAGCAGGTGTGAATGCCAAATGTATTAATTTCATTGTATTTTGCCCCCTCCCCTGTCCGTTTAGGTTTCCATTTCAGCACCAGAGCAACAGCCAGCCGTTCAAAAACAAGATTCTGTTCAAGGGTGAGTCTTCTTCAGATTAGGGATGGGCACGATGAATTTTTGTGGTTTGGTTTGTGGTTCGTGGCTGAACCATGAACAACCATGAACCTACATGAATGGATATGCCGGTTGATGAACCAAACCCATTTGTATAGTTTGTGAGCAATTTAAAGTGAAAGTGACAGGAGCAGAAAGCAGGGGTTTAAATGCCCCCCAGGCGGGGAACAGTTCAGGAGGTTAAGTGGCTGGGAGCCATTTAAACCTAACAGCTAAGTGGTAGACTCTGCCACTCAGCTGTTAGGTTTAAATGGCATATAAATAAATAAAAATAAATAAAAAACAAATGTGCATACTTTTCAATAAAAAACGTGTGTAATATTTGTTCATGCCATTTAAACCTAACAGCTCATGCCATTTAACATTGAATTGATAAGTTTAGATGGGGTTAGAGAGGAGAAAAAGACAGAGAAAGAAAAAAAGGTGGAAAGAAAGTGGAAAGAAAGCAATACACAGGGAGGGAGGGAGGGAGAGGTGGAAAGAAAGCAACTTTAACTTTCAATGCATCTCTCAAGTTCTCCCCTGCCCCCACACTGGCTAACTTGGCTTGGAGATGGCATTTAAAGAGACAAGTGCCTTCTCCAAGTTGAAGTTCCCTTCTTTCTCTGCCTCCCCCCACATCAACCCTACCCAGGGAGGGGAACAGTGGCTGAGGAAGGGAAGACCGATTGGGGAGGCATGCCTCCCCATTGCTTCTCCAGCCGCCCACTGGGAGCCACACAATATGTGTGAAAGAGCCACATGTGGCTCCCAAGCCACAGTTTGGCCACGCCTGGGCTAGCTGATACAAGAGGAAGAACCCAAACTGATCTTTCAGAATGAAAGAACAGAAAACTCACCTTTCAGTTCCTCTTTAGGGTGAGTCCCATGTATTCCTTTTGCGTGTACTCAAGGGCTTTTTGTATCCTTTTAGCCTGATTCCTGATGCAGCCCCGCCGAAGGACAGCCCCAATGGGAGTGACCTTCCTAGTGGGAACGGCAAGCAAGACAAGAGCAAGCAAAGGAGGGCGTCCTGTGCCCGAGCCGAGAAGGGAACCAAATTCCAGCTCACCGTGCTTCAGGTTTGTATGTTTCAAGTGCCGAGTCAAGGGCTGGGCTGATCTGTGGTTCCAGAATGGAATGCAGTGGCTGGACGTCCGTCTGCAAAAAGGGCTCTGCCTGGCACGGATTGGCTCTCACAAGCATCCCATCTTGGGAGCTGTTTGCCTGGGCCTTAATGCCTCCCTGGTGTTGCAAACCTGTTGGTGTTTCATGTGTGGACATTTGCACCCGACAATGAGTATGTGTACATAAGAACATAAGAAAAGGCAATGTTGGATCAGGCCAAGGGCCCATCCAGTCCAACCCTCTGTCACACAGTGGCCAAAAATACTAGGTGCCATCAGGAGGTCCACCAGTGGGGCCAGGACACTAGAAGCCCTCCCACTGTTGACCCCCCCCCAAGCACCAAGAAGATAGAGCATCACTTGCCCCAGACCGAGAGCTCCTATCTATACCTTGTGGCTAATAGCCACTGATGGACCTCTGCTCCATATGCTTATCTAATTCCCTCTTGAAGCCGTCCATGCTTGTAGACGCCACCACCTCCTGTGGCAGTGAATTCCATATGTCAATCACTCTTTGGGTGAAGAAGGACTTCCTTTTATCCGTTCTAACCCGACTGCTCAGCAATTTCATTGAATGCCCATGAATTCTTGTATTGTGAGAAAGGGAGAAAAGTACCTCTTTCTCTACCTGCTCTTTCCCACGCATAATCTTATAACCTCGATCAGGTCACCCCTTAGCCGTTGTTTCTCCAAGCTAAAGAGCCCCAAGCGCTTTAACCTTTCTTCATAGGGAAAGTGTTCCTACACTTTGATCATTCGAGTTGCCCTTTTCTGCACTTTTCCCAATGCTATAATATCCTTTTTGAGGAGTGGTGACCAGAACGGTACACAGTACTCCAAATGAGGTTGCACCATTGAGTTATACAGGGGAATGATGATACTGGCTGATTTTTACAGTGCCCTCAAGTCACAGCCAACTCATGGCGACCCCAAGGCAAATGAGAAGGAGAGGTGGTTTGCCATTGCCTTCCTCTGCAGAGCCTTCCTCAGTGGCCTCCCATCCCAAGTGGCAGTCCTGCTTAGCTTCTGAGATCTGACGAGATCAGGCTGTGCCGTGCCGCCTTCCCTCCTGCACCCAGCAATACTGTATTTGATATCGGGTTAAGTTTTGTGTCTCGGGTTTCAGACATGAATAGTGTATGTTAAGGAGCTGCAACTGTGGCTTATTCACGGGTTATATTTACAGAAAATAATTTAGGCAGTGTGTGTGTTTCATATTTTATGGGAAGTCTAGGATGCTAGTAACAGAATTTTCTGGGCACGGTTTTATGGAGAAACCAGGGGTCATTTCCTGCAGGAGCGCACAGGAGTGGAGCTCCGGCAGTAAAGAGCCCAGGGGGCGGGCACATGCAACAAGCCCCACCCCCTGCTCCCAGCAGCCCTCAGTCAGAGCAAGAAGCAGCCAGGTACGTTGCAGAGCTCCCCCCGGCCCCCCAGTCCAAAACAGTCCAGTAGCACCTTTAAGACCAAGTTTTATTCAGGTACAAGCTCTCCCTCCTCTGTGGGGACAGATCTGCACGTCCGTCCCACCCCCAAAAGCTAGCAATCCAAAACAGTCCAGTGGAGCCTGAGCGGTGGTTGTCAGGGGGTGTGGCATATGCAAATAAGTCATGCTAATATGCTCCTGCACCTCTTTTCCTACGAAATGACCCCTGGGAGAAACCATACAGAAACCTATAAGTGCGTGTTTGTGGTTTTGCTCCTATGAGTGATCTTTTTCTGTGGGATGGATTTTGAGGTTTGAAAAACGTACTTACTTAAAACAATATGAGCTGTTTACAATGTGGGGTAAATTCTTGTTCGCACATATTACTCTTGTTGCCCATATTAACAATCCCAGAATTTTACTTGGGGGAGGGGGAATCTATGTGTTGTAAATTTGTTATTTCAGCTTCTCATGAATTGAGGCGAGTTGCTCTTTAAATAATGTGAAGTATGAATGGGACCTAGAATCCAGTCCTGAGGTTACTAAAGCAAATCATAGGTATTTGGAACCAGATGGTCGTTGAAAGGAAAGGCATGTATCCCATGCAACACCAGCCCTTTTATCTGAAGGCAGATGCCACAGAAACCAGTCATCTTTGGCCACTGTAATGACTTAGTACAGTATAAAGTGTATGTGTGTACCTCAGTAGTAAAGTAAAGGTAAAGGTTCCCTTGCTCAAAAGCCAGTCGAATCCGACTCTAGGGAACTCATCTCCGTTTCAAAGCCGAAGAGCCAGCGCTGTCCGAAGACGCTTCCGTGGTCATGTGGCCGGCATGACTAAACACCAAGGCGCACGGAACGCTGTTACCTTCCCACTGAAGCGGTACCTATTTATCTACTTGCAATTTCTTGCCTTCGAACTGCTGAATAGGTTGGCAGGAGTTGGAACTAGAGACGGGAGCTCACTCCGTCATGCGGCAACCCGGGTCTTGAACTGCTGAACTACCGACCTTCCACAGCCTGCAGTTCAGTGTCTTAACCACTTGAGCCACCACAGCTCCTGGCACCTCAGTAGTAGTGAACCTTTTAAAGTCCTGCCCCCTCTAACTGTTGGACTAGAGGTTTCATTTTTGAAAGGATTGCTGGCACACACATCAAGAAGAAGTAATCCTTGCCTGCTTGGGAAGAAGAAACAATGCTTTACCTCCTTCTAATGGCACGGTGACAATGTTCTCTCTTTAATCAGGTGTCAACATCGGGGGACAACACTGTGGAGTGCCAACTAGAGACTCACAACAACAAGATGGTGACGTTTAAATTTGATGTTGACGGAGATGCTCCAGAAGACATTGCTGATTACATGGCAAGTGTCATGGGCCCCACTTCCCACTCGTGCTGTGTGTTACCAGGGACGTTCCAGCTGGTCACTTGGCTTAGAGGGATGCTTTGATTTCTATTTCAGTTGTTTGGGTTGCTCAAGACAAAGTGCAAAGTTTTTCTGTTTTCATTTGTAGCATTTCTTCACAGTT